TCCCAGCTTTAACCTGAAGGACATCCCCTCTGGGCTGGGCAGTGAGTCGAGACTGGACCGCAGCAAAGGAGAAAGCCGCACGGAAAACATCCTCCTGGATTCCTCCTCCACCCTGATCAACAACGAGGGTAACGTTTCCTGGGGTGGGCAGACCCCCCAGTCCAGCAGCTCCCCCCTCCTCACCTGCAGATGGCCCTGATGTGGGATAAATTGGGAAATTTATGCTGGAAACTGGGGGGATTAGACCTGTCGTGGCCCCCAGGTGAAGCACGCTGAGCCCCAGGGTGTTGCAGAAGGAGGTTTTACCCCCGTGTCCCCCCCACAGTGGTGGCTGTGGGTGACAGGAATGTGGCTGTGGTGGGGAGGAGATGGGGTGGGGTGTGTTCCCGAGGGGAAGGAGCTGATTTGACAAGAGCAAATGCAAGGTTCTGCACCTGGGCCGGAACAATCCTCGCCACCAATACAAACTGGGGGGTGAGGGATTGGAAAGCAGCCCTGAGGAAAGGGACTTGGGGGTGCTGGTGGACGAGAAGCTGGACATGAGCAGGCAGTGGGCACTTGCAGCCCAGAAGGCCAATCCCATCCTGGGCTGCATCAAAAGCTGCGTTGCCAGCAGGTCCAGAGAGGGGATTCTGCCACTTTGCTCTGCTCTGGTGAGACCTCACCTGGAGTATTGTGTGCAGGGCTGGAGCCCTCAATAGAAGAAGGACGTGGACCTGATGGAGAGGGTCCAGAGGAGGGCCACGAGGATGATCAGGGGGATGGAGCACCTCTGCTACGAGGACAGGCTGAGGGAGCTGGGGTTGTTCAGCCTGGAGAAGAGGAGGCTCCGGGGAGACCTAATAGCAGCCTTCCAGTACCTGAAGGGGCCTACAGGAAGGCTGGGGAGAGCCTGTTTAGAAAGGCCTGCAGTGACAGGACGAGGGGCAATGGCTTCAAGCTGGAGGGGAACAGATTTAGACTGGAGATGAGGAGAGGGTTCTTCACTGTGAGGGTGGTGGAGCACTGGAACAGGTTGCCCAGGGAGGTGGTTGAGGCCCCTTCCCTGGAGATATTCAAGGAGAGGCTCGACGAGGCCCTGGGCAACCTGGTCTAGTTGGGGGTGTCCCTGCTGACTGCGGGGGGGTGGGACTAGATGGCCTTTGGAGGTCCCTTCCGGCCTGGGCAATTCTATGATCCTATGATTTCTCTCTCCCTGGGCACGCAGACAACGAGGAGACGGAGGGCAGCGACGTCCCTGCGGACTATCTGCTGGGAGACGTGGAAGCAGATGAAGATGACCTCTATATGATGGATCACGAGAACCCACACGGTGAGTGCCTGGGTGGTGCTGGGAGGAGGGTGTTTTTTACCCCAAACACGCAGCTGGATTTTTCCCCTGGCCTTCTCCTCTCTCCCCCTCCCAGCTGAGGAGCAGGAATACAGCCTGCCCCAAGAAGCTTTCCCCCTGCGCCACGAGATCGTGGACAACCCATCAGCCTTGGACCACCTGCAAGACAAGGCCGACTCCCCTCACGTCAGCGGCAACGAGGCCGAGACGGTGTCCCTGACGCCCGTGGAGTCCTTCTCCCTCATCTCCATCTCCCACTCCCTCTACGAGAACCGCCTGCCCTCCGACTTCTTCAATCCCATCGTGAGGGACACGCTCCTCTTCTACGCCGAGCAGGGGGACGTGCAGACGGCCGTCTCCGTCCTCATCGTGCTGGGGGACCGCATCCGCAAGGAGATCGACGAGCAGACCCAGGTAGACCCCTGGAAGCCCCCTTCCCACCTGCGTAGGAGCTGAACCCCTTCCCTTCAACCCCACGAGATGTGGTAGGACACGCCGGTGGGACCCAGAGGTGGTGTGTCCCAACACCATGGGATCCCACCTGGATTCTGGGAGTTCTTCCTCTCCTCCAGCCCCTCAGGCTCGCTCTAAAATGGGGTGGGCAGCTCCAGGACCCCGAGTATCCGGGCTGGCTGCCCTACCGCTGGTCCCAGCAGGTGGTGTCCACCGTGGGGAAGTGGTCTTGGCCTGTTGACTTGGAGAAGGACGTCTCTTCCCCAGCCCCCTAGTTCCCTCACCACCTTTGGGCTGCAAGGCTGAGATCCCAGAGGGAATTTTGGGGGCTGTGAGGGCTCAGCTGTCTGTTCCCATCCCCAGGAGCACTGGTACACGTCCTACATCGACCTCCTGCAGCGTTTCCAGCTCTGGAACATCTCTAATGAGGTGATCAAGCTGAGCACGTGCCGGGCCATCAACTGCCTCAACCAGGCTTCCACCACCCTCCACGTCAACTGCAGCAACTGCAAGAGGCCCATGAGCAACCGGGGCTGGATCTGCGACCGGTGAGGGCAGGGAGGTGACGGGGGGGGGACCCACCTCCTGGTCACCCAGGGGGAAGCCCCAGGGATTGGGGGAGGATGGGTTTTTCTCCCTGTGGGGCTCACCCCCTTGTCTCCGGCGCAGGTGTCGGCAGTGTGCCAGCATGTGTGCTGTCTGTCACCACGTGGTGAAGGGACTCTTCGTCTGGTGCCAGGGCTGTAGTCACGGTGGCCACCTCCAGCACATCATGAAGTGGCTGGAGACCAGCTCCCACTGCCCCGCCGGC